AGACAGGACAAGACTTTGATCAGCAAGACAAATGTCTAAATACCAGTAAACTTGCACCTCAAAATGTGGTCATAATTCGAAAACTACATGGCTGTAGAATAGCTAAATCTGTTTATGAGCCTCAACAATTCAAAGAGAGGACTACTCATCTGGTTGGGTCCCTAGTGTGAAAATTCCCTCCACTCATTATGATATTTTTTTGGTTTCAGATCAGGAAAATTAGATTGCCTGTAATTATTTTAAGGAACATAGTTGAACAAAACTGAATTGAACAAAGAAAAACACAAAAGAAAAAAAAAAATCATACTCAAAATCTAAAAGTTGGTTTATAGAGAAAAGAAAGCAGACCTCAAAAATGAAAGCATTTGATTGTTAGTCTTGCCAGTCTTCTACTCTAGAGATTTACAGTTGGCTAATCTAAGCATTTGATTATGCATCAGTTCACAATTAGACCATGGCTACTCAAAGAATTATGAAAATAACAAAGGACCTATTGGTAAAAAAACATAGCTATGGAATTGGAATGAAAATAAAAATGAACAGAAGGATTGCAGAAAGGAATTCAGGAACTCACTAGCTTTAGAGGAACCCTGAGGCCCGAGCAGATGCGCAGAATTATTTAGATCCATAAATCTAAATCTGCGTGAATCACAGAAATTTGGTCAAAGACTACAACTTGATTATTTGAATAACATAATATGTTTTAGAGGAGAGGACGTGTTTTTTTTCCATAGTAAAAGATTAAAAAGAAATGCTTTACAGCCGTTAAATTTCTGATTAGCATAACACTTAAATGATGTGGAATGAAGGGATTAGGGTTCCAGAAATTAAACATACCATTGCCGGAAGATCGGTACTTCCCCTGCACCACCTCGTGATCTATGCAGATATTGGGAATGTGGGAGATCTTGGACCATTCGGGGCCCCTCTTTTTGGCGCATCTTTTCTCCAATTTCGGACAACACCAAATATTAAGATATTTTAAGTTGCAGAGGCCTCGCATGGCTTCAGTAGAAGGCAGATGAGTCAAATTAGATCATCTCCCAATAGCCAGCCAATCAAGAGAAGAGAAGTCTCCCAACCACTCTGGCAAAGCTTCCAGGCCATTGAAATTCATTAACGTTAATTCCTTGAGGGCAGTGAGATGTCGAAGCTGATGTGGCAGAGACTTTAGTTTATCCCATCCGAACAAGACCAATACTTCAAGCGAAGGGTGGAATTGATGAATGGAGGTCAATCCTGGGAATTCCTCCAACTCCGACCAAAAAGGACCGAGGCGTAACTTCTTCAAGCGGGTGAGGCTATCTAGCCACTCCTCTGGAAGGCTCCTTACATTTTCGCAAGCTGCTATTACAAGAATACTGAGAGAACGCAATTTCTTTATATCGTCAGAAATGGAAATTAAATTAGGGCAAAATTCAATTTTCAACTTCTGAAGTGAAATGCAAGAGTCCAGCCCAATTGGAAGACACGTTAATCCATCGCAACGAGAAAGGCAGAGGTATTCAAGAGATGTCAACCCATTCATACTTGGAATGGAGTTCAGATTTCGGCAACTTTCAATTCGCAAGAACTGAAGAGAGATGCAGGATCCAAGCCCAATTGGTAGACTTGTTAATCCATTATTGCCCTTGAGCTCAAACCTTTTAAGAGTTGAGAGCCCATCTAAACTAGGGATAGCCATCAGTTTCTCACACCACTCTATCGACAGCTTAGAGAGCTTATGATGAGATGAAAATCCGCCCATCGACCAAGTCTCCAACAAAGGACAACCAGAAATCAGCACATTCTCAAGGCAAGGAAAACACGATCACACCTTGGCTCCCTACAGCTGCATCCTCAACAACTTCAACCCATTCTTCAAGCCTTTGCATGTAATCTACAGTGAGTGTTTTCAAAGCTGGGAACAATTTGATTGATTCTGCTCCACCAGGCTGAAGCTTGTGACCCATTCTTCTAACATTTTCCATTCTTTCAATGTAAAGAACCTTCAGAAAAGGCAATAGTCCCAAATTCGGAATACACGTGCACTCATTGCAATTACTTAACTTCAACTCCACCATGTTGTCAAGAAGGAATGAAGAACCAGAACTATTGACATCATTCCCCATCCAAGATGGGAACCTCTTTCCTTTATAACCATCAATAGTGAGGCTTTTCAAATTTGAATGAGGTTGAAGGCTTTCTAGAACCTCTTCATGGTTGTTGTTGACTGCTCCTTCATAGCCACTACTCCAGCGTAATTTCAATTGATGCAATTTTGCCTTTTCTTTCAGGTTTGCTTTAGAAGCTTCCAATTTAGATCTGACATGTTCAAGCTTCCAAATCTCTAGTTTTCCTCCAAGTTGGCTTAAGCATCCAAGGTCTTCAAGCCGGCATCCCTTTTTTGTGCCCACAACAAAGTATGGTAATGTTCGAAGGGAAGTTAACTGCATGATCGATATATCACTTCGACAACTAAAATAGATATGCCTCAAGCTGATGAGATTTGACATGCCACTGGGAAGCTTTTCAAGATGACAGTCAACAAAATTTGAAGTCTGTAAATTATAGAGCTTGGAGAAGGATTTTGGTACTGTTCTGACATAAGTTTTTGAGATGTCAAGGTACCTCAAATGCTTCAATTTGCCAAGAGAAGCTGGCAACTTGTTCCCACCTCCCTCTAATTTCAAGGATCGCAAGCTTTTGAGATCTGAGGCCATGCTACAAAAAACATCATCATCCGAAAACAAAGAATGCAGCCTTTGAGCAACACTTCTTGGAATGGTTAGAAGATCCTGTCCCTTGAACTTGACTCTCAAATGTCGAATAGTACTACAATTCTGAACATCAAAATTGCAACTACTATCCCAAACCAAGGTCTTACCTTTTGAAACAAGCAATGCAAGATCATGCACTAGATCATGCATTTTGCAAGATTCAATATTCCCATACAAATCCCATTGAATATCTTGGAATAAACAATTAGATAACAACTCCTTGAAATACTCATTACCAATATCCTCCATTTCCACAAGGCTTTCATTAGATTTGTGAACAAACCCCTGAGCCACCCAAAGTTGAATTAAATCATCTATGAAAATGACAGCATCCTTTGGAAAAATTGAACAATAAGAGAAGCAGTTTTTTAACAATGAAGGCAAACGATCAAAACTGATTTTCAATATAGATAAAATCTTCTTATTTTCATCTTGCAAAATCCATGCTTTATCATCTAAGATCTCTTGCCACTTATCTGTCTTCATTTCACGACTCAATGTTCCTCCAATTACACTTGCAACTAATGGCAACCCCCCACATTTTCTGGCAATTTCTTGTCCAATACCTTCTAAATCCAAAGGTATTGAAGTTTCTGTTGATGATCTGAGAACTCTGTCCTCAATTATCAACCAGCATTCATGATCTGATAGCTTTACCATATCATGTTTTTGCATTGGAAGTGCCTCCATTATGGATGCTACCTTATCACTACGACTAGTCACAAGAATGGAGTTTCCACTGGTTTTTAAAATTTTTAACAAACGAGAATTGAAACTATCCCACTTGCTTCTATCTTCATTCCACACGTCATCAAGAACTAGAAGAAATTTTCTATTTTCTAACTCCCGCCCAAGTTTCTGAATAAGTGCATCTATATTATTCATTCGACCAACAGAGCTATCAAGGTATTCTAACATATCTCCTAATATTATTTTTTCATCAAATTCCTCAGACACACAAACCCAAGCCACCAGGTCATACAACTTTTGTTCTTTTACCATACTGCTTATTGACTTCGCTAATATTGTCTTGCCTATGCCCCCAAAGCCTACTATTGAAATGCCAGAGAGGATATGTTGACTCCTTATGTTATCCAACTTGTTGACAATTTCTAAGACATCATTATGCCTTCCTACAAATTTGGAACAATCAGGGATGGAATCTGTCTCAGGATATTGCCTTGCACCAGCAGTGGAATGACTTTGGTCACCAAGTCTGACTGGAAGAAGCAAAACCCCGTGGTTGTTGATTTTATCCAGAGTCTCATTAATCTTCCTAATCTTATCAGCCATGCTAAGACGAAAGGCAGTGTAATTGAAAACACCAAAAAAGGTGCGCACCTGTTTCCACTTTCGGCCTTGAGTCTGAACTTTGTGCTTAAGAACCTCATACTCGTACTCATCCAGCACATCCACCGCATCAT